GTGTCCAGGGGGCATGGGTGAAATAGGTGATGGGGAGGCACTTGTGATGAGCTGTGGGTGTTGTATGGAAGTGTTGAATCACTGCATACCTCAAACTAATATTACACTGTATGTTAACTAACTGGAATTTAAATAAAAGCCTAAGGAAAAGAAAAGCCTGTTGTTGGTAGGTGTCTTATTTACTCGTGGCATTTTATTATTATATCAGAGTTGGAGATAACCCAGAACACTGTGAGCAACTAGGGCCATTTTTTGCCCAGTAATCTTGACATTTTCAGAATGGATTTAACTAGTTAGAAAACAATATAAAAATATAAACTACATTATTATAAATACATATATGTTCTTAGAAATGTGAACATTATGAGGAAACAATATATAAAATGGCTTTAAGATAGAGTTTGTTGGTTTTGTATTTGCCTGTGACAATTCTGATTTTGAAGACCCGTTCTAAATTGCTCTTGGCTGTGCAAAGATTTGTTTCTTTCTTTGTTTTAAAGATTTTATTTATTCATGAGGGACACACAAAGAGTCAGAGACATAGGCAGAGGGAGAAGCAGCCTCCCCATGGGGAAACTGATGCAAGACTCAATCCCAGGACCCTGGGATCATGACCCGAGCCAAAGGCAGATGCTCAACCACTGAGCCACCCGGGTGCCCCTGTGCAAAGGTTGTGATTTCATTTCTTAGTATGACTTAAAGTTCATCCCTCCTTTTGTGAAATATGAAAGCTGGTGCATTGAGCTTCAAGATTTTGTGAGGTGGGAAACTCTGGGTTCAGATTGCTTTTTATTGACCCTTAAGCTGGTGCTGTGGCCAAGATAGAGGTATGCCTTCTTTATTGTAGCTGTCTAATGCTCTTATAGCAACCTGTTTGTTTGAGAGACAGTAGAGGAGAGTGGAGACAGGATCCTTTTCTATTTTTCTATCTTTCCCTGCTCTAGGTTTCAAATTGTCTTTTTTGGAAATACGACCCTCTTGAACAAAAGTGGATAGGAATTCCCAGAGCCTAATTTCACTATTGGGAACTATGTTGGCCTCTGAAGGGGAAGGACATCAATTGCCCTCAAGCATTTATTCTGTACCTCACTCAGGTTACTGGTCAATTTCTGTAGTGTTTTATAGTTATTTTTGTTCACATCCTGTCTTTTCATCTTGATCGGTGTTTTCTATCAGTGCAGAACATTTTCTTCAATGATGAAAATGTTCTATATTTTCATTGTCCAAATCAGTAGCCATTAGCTACATACAGCTTTTGAGTGCTTGAAATGGGCTAATTAATATGATGGGAGAACTGAATTTTTAATTTATTTAACTTTAATATTAGTTGATTAAATTTTTTTTAGTTTGAATATAGTTGACACAATGTTACATTAGTTTTAGGTGTATAATATAGTGATTAAGTGTCGCTATGCATTATGATGCTACATTCACCACAAACTTGCTACTGTCTGTCACCAAACAACACTTTTACAATACTAGTGACCATATTCCCTATGCTGTATCTTATATCCCCATGACTTATTCATTCCATAACTGGAAGCCTGTATCTCCTACTCTTCTTCACCCATTTTGTCTCTCCCTCACTTGTCTCCCCTCTGACAACCAGCAGTTTGGTTTTTGTATTTATAGATCTGGTTCTGCTTTTTATTTGTTTATTCATTTGTTATTTTAGATTCCACAAATGAGTGAAATCATATGGTATTTGTCTTTCTCAGGCTAACTTACTCTACTTTCCATTATACCCCCCAGGTCCATCCATGTTGTCACAAATGACCTGATCTCATCCTTACTTATGGCTGAGTAATCCACTGTGTGTGTGTGTGTGTGTGTGTGTGTATATATGTACAAATACTCCACGCCTTCTTTAGTCATTCACCTATGTGCGTACACTGGGATGGCTCCCATGTCTTAGCTATTGTAAATAATGCAATAGAAATAGGGTGCTTAATTTCAATTAATTTAAATTTAATAGCCTCAGGTGCCTAATAACTACTGTGTTGGAGAGTACAGATCAACCTTATGATGTGGTCTCTATTTGATTTACTTTGTTCTGTGTTATTGGAGTATACCAATTTACTTATCTGATGTTTGGTGAAACAACTGTGTTTGTTAACCATGTTGCTTCCAAAAGTACACATGGCTAAGCTGGCTGTAGAGTTAGAAACTACACAGCTTTGAATTTGAAACTGAAGTTGGCTTCTGATGGTTAGTACGAAACTGGAATAAGATGCTTAGAATTCTTTGTGCTTTCCTGAAATTTGTTCAAAGTGAATCTAAAAAGCTGACAAAACCGTAACTAAAAATTCTGGATTTACTATAACATTCTACAGAGGTCAGCATTCATGTTCAAGTAGGAAAAAAACAAGGTATATTAGCTAAGAATGTTACTTCCAATAACTCAAGGACAAGGATATCTCTGTGACAAACAGGACTGTCTTAATCATCCTGGTGGGTGCTTATTCTTATATTCTTTCCATTTTGATTCTTTTGACTGTATTCCTGTTGACCATCCAAGACTAGCCAGTAATTAGGTATAGTAAACATAGTTCACTTTGGATTCATGGGTATTTTGTTTATATTTACAACACAGCAGCACACTGGGAACTTTATAGAGATATATCTATAACTTTTTCATCAAACTTTTTATTTCAAATTGTTGCAAGTTTCCTTTTAGGCAACTTTATGTTTTTACTTTCATGAAGCCTGTGTATAGAGATAGCTAATTTTGGTGTTACCTAGAATATTAATTCCAACATATTACCAACTTGCTTAATGGAGATAAAATATACAAGTTTGGTATTCCTACATAAGGCAAGTGGCTCCTGAAAGATTTGGTGTAGTGTAATGATATATCTATCATACTGTAATTTAGGTAGCAGAAAAAAAGTAAATGACTCCCTTAAAATAAAGGTCTTTTGGGGATGGTTTTTTTTTTTTTTAACTTGCTGATATTTAGTAATTTTATGGTCTAGGCTAAATTGAATCTGAGCATTAATGAGTGAGTAAAATATTCATAATGAGGACTCATTCATTGAAGTGGTTTTTTTTTCATTCGTTGAAGTTTTATCTTATGAGTAGAATATTATTCTAAGCATATAAGGTGTAAGATCAGCCCAGAGGCCTGCCTGGGTGGCTCAGTGGTTGAGCGCCTGCCTTTGGCTCAGGTAGTGATCCTGGGGTCTGGGGAACGAGTCTGCCATCAAGCTCCCCGCAGGGAACCTGTCTCTGCCTATGTCTCTGCCTCTCTCTGTGGGTCTCTCATGAATAAATAAATATTAAAAACAAAACAAAACAAAACAAAAGATCAGCTCCAGAGTGAGAGGCTTACTCTGTAGTTGGGCAAGTAGGATCTATACTTAAAAAGAAGATGCTTCACAGTATGTGATAGTGCCTCAATATAAGTTTTGGGAACTTTGAGAGAATACAGGTAGTGTTTCCTAAGGGTGACTGGTAGGGTAGGATTTGAACTGGATTTTGAGGAAGCTAAAGAGGAGTAGAAATAGAAAAAGGAGGGCATTCTAGCCAAGGAGACCAGTGTGAGCTGAGGCTTAGATTAAGAATATGCATGGAATATTTGGGAATAAGGAATGGACATTGTAGGAATGCAGATTCCATATGGGACCTTTAGGGGATAAGGTCATTCTGGAAGCTAGGGGCGCAATGTGTAGGGCTTTGGTTGCTGGGCCAAGAAATTATGCTGAAGGAAGTAAGGGGCTGTTAAACATTTTTGAATGGTCGGAAGATATGTGAGAAGTGAGATATTATGAAGATTAATTTTTGGAATGGAATACAGGATGCCTGGGCATAGGAGAAGGAAAATTTAAACAGTAAGGATGTAAGATGAAGAGGCTCTGCCCTTTTGTTGCTAACGTAGGAATGGAAAAGCACTTGGCAAATTGAATTTAAATTTTAAAAAAAGGAATGGAAAAGCAAGGGATGCCTTAAGAGTGTAGCTTTTCTGGTATCATTCTGGTATCATAAGTGTCATATGACACTTAAATTGATATTTATTTGTTGCCTTGTTGCAATTGAAAGGTTTCATGCCTGAGTAACTAGGAGAAGCAGATGTTTGAGTCTGGTGAGCTGATTTGAAGGAAGGGTGGGTTGAGTTTGAGATGTTCTGAATTCCGGGTGAATTCAGGAAGGGCCTGTAGATAAGAGGTTCAGAGGTAGTTGAAGATGAAAAGACTGATGCTGGGTCTCAAATGTAGAAGCCATCTATCTCTCTTTCTTAGGATCATCAGAAATTTGTGATAGTGAGTGCGAGAGAGCTGTGGACTGAAGATTGGAGCCTGGAGATGTCTGAGGTGGGGAAAGGGAGATGGCCAGTGTGTCATATAAGGCAGAAAGTTCAAGGAGCAGAAAACAGAAAAAAAACCCACTAGATTGAAGATACTTGAGAACTGAGAGCGGTGTTTGAGTGGAATGGTTAAAATTGGTGACTGAATAGGTGGTAAATAAAACTAAGAAGTAAACATACATGTCACGTTCATGTTGCTTCTTTTGTCGCCTGCTCTTCTGTCCTTTTACTGAATGTACCTGGCAGGGAGATAAAAGGAGGTAGTACTCAAAACTGTCCAAATAGTTCCCTGTTAAAAGACTGGTTACAATAATTGGTGATCAACAGTAGAGTAAAACCATTAGTCATTTGGATGATATATTTTTTTTAAAGATTTGATTTATTTATTTATGAAAGACACAGAGGAGAGAGAGAGAGGCAGAGACACAGGCAAAGGGAGAAGCAGGCTCCATGCAGGGAGCCTGATGTGGGACTCCATCCTGGGACTCCAGGATCATGCCTTGGGCCAAAGGCAGGTGCTAAATTGCCGAGCCACCCAGGGATTCTCTCATTTGGTTGATATGAATCAATTACATATTTATCCTTACTCCTGATAATAACTGAAATTTGATTGCCATTTTAATGAAAATAAAAATGAGGATTGATGTTACTGAAAATTATATTTCTACTAAATACTACTTGTTTTTTTTAATCTCAGTTTTTATGCAGATTTTGGACCTCTGAACTTGGCAATGGTGTACAGATACTGCTGTAAACTAAACAAGAAACTGAAAGTGAGTATTATGGTGATGTTTATATTGTGGTATTAAAAATTGGAACTTTGAAATCTGACCACTGACTGGGATTGCTGTGCACACACCACTTAGTTAGGTAATCTTGATCTTTGGATATTTATATGTGTGGTTCACCCAGAAATTGAAATTGATCCACCTGAGTCTTCCATAAAGGACATGTTAACCTCTTTCATTTTTCAGGATGAATTGAAATGTGAGCTGAATGAAGTCATTGGAATAGGGACCTAAGAAAGAAAGCAAAAATCCTTTCAGGTCATTGTTTAATGAGTCTATCAAATTCCTTCCCAGGATGATTTTTCTGAAACCAGGCAATGAAGGGGCTCATCAGTGCATGGCAGGAGCTCTGGAGCTTTTTTGTCTGGTCAGCATTGCAATTTTGACATAATTTCTTGAGGGTCATCTTTGTGGAGTTAACCACCAAGTGAGATTGATGAATTAGTTGTGATACAGCAAGGACTTTACCTGTTAGAGTAGAATGTGGGTCATACATTTAGCATTCATCTGTATTTTTGATTTTACATGTTTTTTTTTTCTCTTAAACTCTACACATATATAAGGAAAAGTGATATGTATACTCCTGGTTTTGGTAAATTTATTTCATCACATAGAATGAAATATTTATCTTTTTCTTCCAGTTTTCTAAATGAGGTTCTTAAATGTAATGTTTCCATTTGAAAAGTCAGCTACTGTACAGCATGCTGTTAAAGATGACTGCTAAATTACAATGCTTAGGTCGTTTATTTCTGTTGGTTAGAATGTTACTGGTATGACATAGTACAGTGCCTTATACATATTAGCTGCTTGGTGATCATCTTTTGATTTAATTGATTTTTATTGAACTTACATATAAAAGTCAGTCTCTGGTGAATAATTTACTGTAAAATGTGTATTTATGAATTCGCAGATTTTTGCCATTGATCTGAAAAAGCTAAATGGTGGTGGAATAAATACCAGAGAGAAATTTTTTTCGTCAATCATCGTATAACATAAGATCTGTTGCAGTCGACTGTTTAAAGAATTAACTTGTAAAGTATTATCTGACTTGAAAAGATGTATGTAAATTCCTTTGACTAAACTGATCTACATTTTTCAGAAAAGAAGTTACTGCCAGTAGTTTAGAAAATAAAGTCAAAACTTTTGCATTCACCAAGGAAGCAGATATCCTAAAAAGGATTGGATATAAAAATATAAAATGGACTGTTAGTGGGTGAATTAACAAGGAAAGGATAGTTCATTAATAATTGAAGCTTAATTCTTCCTTTTGAGGACCTAGGAATTTTTTTGGTGTTCTTGATTAGTCCTGTTAGTATGTAGTTGGTATGAACTGGGTATTATAATGAAAGGTTTGGGATCTGATATTATTTGAAAGATTGAAGAGAAAGAATCATTGTTTTGAAAATAAAAATTTTTGGTCTGACTCAGTGTTCTACTTAAGAGTAGATGGCTTGAATAAGGCTATTTTTCTACCATGTTTGATACCAAATAGTATAGGTAAGTGTATACATGGACTTGTTTCAATTTGTTTTCATTTACAAAGCTTTCTTTTCTTTCACCATTACATGAAAGTTTAATAGAGTTCAACAGTCCCTTGGTTCATTTCAGAAATCAGGTAATCTGATGAATGCCTATGAGGACATTTTTAGCTTTAGTGCAGCTAGTGGGCACCCTGTTACTTGCTGAAGGGATGAGTTTTCAAAACCCAAATGTTAATAAGTCCCGAGTTATCCTGAAGCATCCATGTAGAATCTCTATATTAGAAGAAAAAGACTGACTTTACCAATCCAACACTACAGTCGCTTCAGCCTTATAGAATCTGTTTCTTTGGCTATAAGATAGGGATTATGGATCTCCCACAGAGGGGTTAGGTTAGGATTATATTAGGAATGTATGTAAAAAGGCTTTGCACATTTTGATGCCTCATGCTTAAGAAAGTTACTAATGGAACGTTTATGACTTTGGGTAAGAAATAACAATAACACTCCCTCAGCCCCCCTAGCTATCATTTCCATATTTGAAAGCTGTCCGATATAATTTTAGGAACTGAAATAACCATTTAGTCCAGCCAATTAATTTTGTAGGTGCAGGAAGGGAGGCGCAGGAGAGGCAGGTGACTTGCCCAAGGCTGCAAGGTAAAGTGGGAGCTCGATCTCAAGGCTCACGACTTACTCGTGCTCCTCGCCACCTTCCTTGGTGGCCGAGCCTCTGTGGTTTGTGATCTCTCTGTGCTCGCTCACAGCGCTGCCGCAGCTGACTTCACCTTGTTATCCCGTAGTGGTCTCAAGGCTCTTCTGCCCCCTTTGCTCCACCGACTGCCACCCCAGCTGCTTTTCTTCCAGAAACCCAGACTCCAGGCTTTCCTGCTTTGAATGTGCCCTGCTCAGTAGGTACCTCTTACATTCTGTCTCTCTCACCTTCATGTAATCTCCAGGCCCTCGGGCTCCCTGTATTCTCAGTCTATCGCTCCCTGTCAGTGTTTCTCACCTGCAGCCCCTTGTTTGCTCATTTTGCTAAGACCTTGGGGCACCTTGCTTCCATGCCTTTTGTCTTGCTTGCCTTGGCAGCTCCCACCCTTGGCATCTTTCCCAGTGGATGATTTCCTGCACTAACTTACTGATTTACTGAATATTGCGGTACCCCCGCCACTCCCAGCTGTGCACTTTACCCCGAACCACACCATTCGCTCCACTCAATGGCTTGTGATGTCCTCTCTTAGTTGAATGCCCCTTTTCCTTAGTTGAATTGCTCTTTGTTCTTTATGACCTTGTTCAGGCACCACGGCTTCTAGGAGGCATCTCCATGTCCTTCTCAACAAGGTTGGAGGTGCCTCCTGTTTTCCCAGAATTCTCTGTGCAGATCTCTATTACTAAAGAGTTATAATTACCTGTTAGCATTGCTTGCTTTCACTAGACTATATGCACCTAGGAGATGGAGACATGACATATAATTCTGTGTCTCCAGTGCCTCGCACAGGGTCACCAGACACAAAGAAACTTCTGTCAGTGTTATCACGATCCCCTTGACTTACAGGTCCTCTTTTATCTTTTTGCCTCCGGAGGTTTCAGAATATTGTGCCCTCACTGTTTACATCTTCACTATCCACTGATTAAGAAATCATCCTTTGCTGTCTCACTTGCCTTCCTCACCCTGGTAAAACTGCTCTGGTGACATTTTTTTTTTTTTAAGATTTTATTTATTTATTTGAGAGTGCATAAGGCAGGGGGAAGGACAGAGGGAGAGGGAGAAGCAGACCCCCCACTGATCAGGGAGCCCATGGGGCTTGGTCCCAAGACCCCAAGACCACAACCTGAGCCGAGGTAGATGCTTAACTGACTGAGCCCCCCAAGCGCCCTGCTCTGGTGACATCTTAAACACCAGATACAATGATGTTTACTTGGTCCTCAAACTCTACTTCTCTGAATATTTTGGTACTATTTTAACTGATTACAACTTCTTAGAATATTTCTCCTGTGTGGTTTCCTAGCTCTTTTATGCATGTCTTATTTGCTACTTGGACAATTTTTATTTCTTCCAACAAAGCTCTAATTTTTTTCTCCTTTATTTGATAACCTATATAGATAGGTAATATTTTGCAATGCATTTTATTCCAAACCTATATTTTTAATTTTTATATTATCAAAAGGTATTTTTTCAAGTTGATGATTTGAAGTGATGATTTATTGCTTTTTTTTGTGTGTGTGTCGATATGGGTTCTATTCCTAGTGACTTTCATTTTAATTATGTTGAATAGAATGGAAAATTACCCATCAAATATCTACTGAGATTCAAAAACCAAAAGCAGACATCACTACCATCAACAAAAAAGCCCTGTTTTTTAAGTTTTAAACTATATTTTAAAAAGTGTATGAGGCACCTGTGGTGGCTCAGTATGTTAAGCATCTGCCTTCAGCTCAGATCATGATCCTGGGGTCTTGGGATCAAGGGCTCCCTGTTCAGCAGGGGTCTGCTTCTCCCTCACCCTCTACCCCTCCCCTCTGCTTGTGCTTCCTCTCTCTCATGCTTTCTCAAATAAATAAAATCTTTTAAAAAAGAAGTGTAAACACTAAGAGTTGTGCAGTGGTAGGTTGTAGTTTGCAATTTCTGGTCAATAGTTACTATAATGAGGGAGGCAATCCAAAGAAGGAAGATTTATTGAAGTGAGAACAATTGATAAAACTGTATGTATTATTTGATGTAAAATACCATCAGTGATTGATAGGCTAGACCAGAACTTATTAATTTGGTATTTTAAGAGGTCCATAAACCCCTGAAATTATATATAAAATTTTATGTATTTACATTTTCCTCTAAGAAGATTCATAATTTTTTAACGAGTTCTTAAAGGGATTCTTTGCACAGACAATGGTAGCAACACTCGGCTAGAATATACAGGCTTCTAAAAGGGAAGACCGTTCTAGCAACATAGTGATATTTTAAAAAATAATGCCTTCAAACTTAGTCATATAAGCAAATCTTTCAGTGACTGAAACAATAATAGGAAGGTTTTATAAACATATGATTGAGCTAGCTTTTCCTAAAATGGTCAATACAGTTTTAACTGTTGATTTCATTTTTCCTCTGAGAAAACTAAAACCTCAGTCTATGAAAAAAAAAATCTAAGAGCATCACTGGAAAAAGGGGCATTTTCTAGGGCAGTGATTTTTTTTTTTTAATACTGCTCTTTCGAATCAACAGGACAATTACAGTAATCTTGAGGACTGCTTTTAAAAGGTTTAAAAGAATATTGACAGAAGTGTAATTTTAAATGTACAAAACATCCCATACAGCCCTTTCAGGGTAAAAGGAGAAGGGGGGGCCATGGGCCTGGTGAAATGGACGATTGTACTAAAGTGCTGAAAGTACCTGGCAGATGGTGGGGGCTCAGGGAATGTCCTTGTTGCTGAATGAATCAGTGCAGTAATCCTATCCGCTAACCAGGCACCTGCCATGGTATCAGGTGGTTGTACACAAGAACTCTTTTG